ACTTACTGCCTCTTTTATTGAGTACAAGCTTTGCATGTTTTGGGGCCGGGCTTTGTTAGTATCCACACTGTCCACGTGATACTCAGCTCATTACACATGTCCACTTGGATGTTTTAACTGATTTCTCAACGTTTCTTCTAAACATTTGCTAAAGTTGGTGAAAATATTAACCATCTCAAAGATTAGGAAATGCAAGTGGTAAGAGTTCAGTGTTTGACACAGAGTAAGGGCTTATGAAATACTAAGAATCTGCTGCCAACATTGGTCATTTCCTTCTGCCCCTCCTGCCTCTCTCATTTCTCTGAAATACCTTACAGTTTGGTGCACAAAGAGTTCGTTGCTTTTCCTAAGTGCACTTGCTTTTGTTACTTTCGTACTTCTTAATTCTTCTTTATTTTTTTAAAGATTTATTTATTTATGCATACAAGAGCTGGGGTACAGGCCAGAGATGTATGTGGGGCGGGGGGAGGTGAGAGGATTCACCAGAGACAGAGTGGGAAGCAGAACAGGCAGATAGACTGAAATGCACTGCTGAGAGGAGCAGTGGGTGAGACAGGAGAGGTCTGCTGCGCCATGTGGGTCACTCCCTGGCTGGGAGCCAAATCATGCTGCAGTGGCTGCAGATAGTTTCATAGTGCTGCAACTTAACCCTTGCACCACTAGGGAAGCCCCGTAATTCTTTGAGCTTTTCTATTTTCCACATGACCTTCAGTAAAAGTCTGGGTTTCAGTTTTTACTCAGTAACCAGAAAATCAGAATATGCTTGACCTAATGTTTCAAGGGTAAAACATTTATAAGAATGAAACTAGTAAAGCAAATGATTAAAAGTTTGTTTTTAAAGAGAGGTTATGTTGGTTTTTCTTCTAGTTTAACTGCTTATACTTCACAAATAGATCCAACAAATCACTTAACCTCACTTGTCTTAGATCTCTCATTTGCAATTGGCAACCTCAGAATGTATGGGAACAAAACCTTTTTGAAAATGCAAAGTGTTAATAGCAATAGTGGCAGCTATAAAGTATTTAAAGGAATTGTTAACTGTAATTATTACTATTGAAGACTTTACACTGCATTTTGTGCTATTTTTCTTTATTATAGTAAAATACTCATAAGACTTATTATTTTAACCTTTATTAAGACTAAGTGGCATTAAATACATTTACAGTGTGTGCAAACATCACCATTATTCATCTCCATAAAACTTTCCACCTTGTAAAACTGAAACTCTGTACCTATTAACCAATAGTTTTCCTCAGCCCAGTTCATGGAAACCACCTTTACAATTTATATCTTTGTGGTGTTGACTCTTCTGAAGAATCATACAGCATGTGTCTGTTTTCCTTATTTCACTTAATGTAATATCCTCAGGGTCCATCCATGTTGTAGCATGTTGAGGAATCCCCACCTTTTTAAAGACTGGGTAAAATTCCATTGTATGTACATAGTATGTGTCACATGGTGTTTCATGCAACAGCGCTATATAAAGCAGTCATCCATATATATAACAAGCTATAACACATCAGTTTTGTGTAAGCAAACTCTATGGCATTAACACAAACATGCAAACACCTACTTGTAAGTTTCTCAGAATGTATCCTTTTCATTAAGCAATGCATGACTGGATACACATTTTGTTAATCCACTCAACAGTTGATGGACACATCTATATTTTAGTATTACAAATAATGCTATTGTGAACATGAGTACAAATCTCTCTTCAGGACCTACTTTCAATTCTCCTACTTTCAATTGTGGATGATATGGTAATTCAATTTTTAATTTTATAAAAGAAACCACCATACTGTTTTTCACATGGTTGTACCATTTTCCATCTCCTCTAACAAAGCACAAATGTTCTAGTTTCTCTATATCCTCACCACCAACAGTTGTTCTTTACTTTTCTTTCTTTCTTTTTTTGTTTTTTTTGATAGTAGCCATGCTACTGTGTGAGGTGGTATCTTGAAGTTTTGATATGCATTTTCTAATGATTAGTAACAGTGGAAATCTTTTCTATGCTTATTAGCCATTCATACATGTTCTTAGACAATGTCTATTCAAATCTTTACCCATTTTTCAATTGGGTTATTTTTTTGGTTGTTGTTGAACTTAAAATTCTTCTATTATGTTCTGAATACTAATCCCTTACCAGATATGTAATAGGTAAATATTTTCTCCCACCCCCTGCGGTTGTCATTTTTGCTCTGTGGATAGTGTCTTTTGATGTACACATCAATTCACTTAGTCTATTTTTCTTTTGTTACTTGAACCTTTGGTGTCATAGTAAGAAATCATCGCGAAGCCCAATGTCAAAGATTTTGTCTAATGTTTTCTAAGAGTTTCCTTGTTTTATGTGTTACATTTTAGCCTTTGACCCATTTTGAGTTAGTTTTGGTACATGATGTTTTTTAGGTAAGGGTCCAACTTCATTATTTTGCATATACAGTTTTGCCATTTTCATTTATTTAAAACACTGTCATTCCTTGCCACCCTTGCCAAAAAGCTTGATTGAATCATTTGAGTTATAATAGGGTGTATTCCCTCCTCTTCAATTCTTTTTTGAAGAATTTGAGAGGGTTGATATTAGTTCTTTAAATGTTTGATACAAATGAAGCCGTCAGGGCTAGGACTTTTTTGTTGGGAAATTTTTCATTACTGATTAAATCTCCTTACTAATCATAGGTGTAGAGATTTTTCCATTTCTTTATGTTTCAGATTTGGTAGGAAGTTGTATTTCTAGGAAGTTGTCTACATGATTTAGGTCTTTTAATATTTTTGAACAATTTGAATTATGAAACACTGTTTATAATATTCTCATAATACTATCTAATAACTTTTTTTCTGTAAAATCAGTAACAGTACTCCTATTTTAGCTTCTGATTTTAACAATTTGAGCATTGTTTCTTTTCCTCTAAAGTTACTGGCTAAAAGTTTGTCAGTTTTATAGATTTTTTCAAAGAACTGGCTTCTTGATTTGTTGATTTTTTCTATTGTTTTTCTAGTCTGTATTTTATCTATTTTATGTAGCTCTGCTCTGCTTTAATCCCTCTTTTTTTTTTTTTTTTTTTTGCCTTCTAGGCTTGGATTTAATTTACCCTCATAATTTTCTTTACTTCAGTTTTAATGTAATTACTTGACATATTTCCTGTTTTATAGTGTAGGCATTTGTAGAGATAAACTCCCCCCCCCCAGCACTGCTTTCTTTGCATACCATACATTTTTAAAGTTTATATTTATTTCCTTGTTGAATTTGTCAATTTTCTTTTCTTTGATTTTTCATTTCCTTTTTATTTTAAAAGCTTTCTTTTTGAATATAAGAACTGGGGAACAGACCAGAGATGTGGGGGGAGGGGTGAGAGGATTCACCAGAGACAGATTGGGGAGCAGAACAGGTGGATCTACTGAAATCCACTGAAGAGAGGAGCAGCAGGGAGACAGGAGAGGTCTGCTGCTCCCTGGCTAGGGATTGAACTTGTGCTGCAGTGGCTGCAGACAGCTTCATAGTGCTGTGATTTAACCTTTTGTGCCATCAAGGAGGGCCCATGATTTCTTTATTCTTATAGGGAAGGTCTAGTTTTGGCAAACCCTCTCAGTTTTGTTTTGTTTCTTTCTCTTTCATATCTGAAAGAAGAACTTGCAGAACATAGTATTCTTTACTGGCAGATTTATCTTTTAGTATCTTAAATATGGCATTCTATTCTCTATTGGCCTGAAGAGTTTCTACTGAAAACTGTTGAATGTCCAATAGGAGTATTTGTAAGTTCTCTATTCTTCGCTTTGCTGCTCAATATTCTTTCTTTGTCTTGAACTCTTAGTAATTTTGCAACCCAGGCTAAATTGCTCTTAGACATCAAAAGGCACAACAGGAAGAAAAAAAAAAAAACTTTCTCTTTGAAGATTGTACTTACAGGCGTAGTAATAACAACCTTGAAGTGAGTTCCAAAACCATCTGGAAACTGAAATACAGAGGAAAAACAGGGCCACCCAGAAGCAGACACCTTGAAAAACCTGAATTCTTACTTCTTTTACTGTCCTTTGTCTCCTGATTTATTTAGTTTCCCTTGTCTCCAGAAAGGAGATATTAAAATTTTCAAATAAGTGTAATTCAAGGGTATGGAAAATTGAGACTATACGCTTGTGACCAGTCATAGATCAAGTTAACCAGGGAACAATTATGCTCCCCTAGAGATCTGAAATTTCTTTCCCCATTTAGCAGGCAGTAGTTCTAGCAGATGGCCTTTATCCATTGCCCCCCAAAATGAGGGGCAGGATATAGATATTGGAGGGAATTGTCATTGTCCGGGTAATGGAAAGTTCCTAACATTTACTTTATCATCCTTACTCTTCTCCAGTTTATCTTTTCTTGAGGATAAATCCAGAAAACCAAGCAAACGGACTGAGACCCACCTGGAGGTAGAAGACAAAGATTAAACTCCAGCCTCGTTATGATCATAAAAGGCACAGCCACCAGCACTTTCACAGAGCCAGTCAAGACCAAACTTGGAAGAGTCAAGAATGTAGTTCTTGGGAACCTCCCTTCCTTAGTACTTCTCCACATAAATTTCTGCTTCGCCCCAATTCCAGAAGGTAGCCTTTGCAGTCTTAGTCACTATGTCCTCCGGTTTACCATCACCTGATTAAGCCTGATTTTTTTCCAACAAGATTTGTTTTTGTTGGTCTTTCAAATTCTAACTTAGCAGAGAATCACCAGGCCCTAAAACCTTTGTAACAGTTTCACTGTTCTGTGTTTTAGGGTTTGTATCATTGCATTTAGATAATCAGGTTTTTTTTTTTTTTTTTTAACTTCATGGCCTTGTATGCTCAGTTTCTTTTTCAGTTTTGGGAAATTTTCCTCTTCACCTGCTAAACGTTAAATTCATAAATAGTCCTTTCCCAGCATTCCCAAATGACAAATTATCCTTCATTTGTTGCTTACTTCTGATCTCAGCAAGCGTGTGATCACACTGTTTGCCCTGCAGGAAGAGGGGACTGTAGGCTCTGACCCAGGAGGCATGGTGCCTTATTGCAGTCTGGGTATTGCAGAATCTCGGGTTATGTCAGGCCAGAGACTACAACAGCTGGCAAGGACTTATGGCTTTGCTTATTGGAGTCCACACTCAGATGTAAATCTTTATGTGATCTTACCATTGCCTTCCTATGTAGATTTCAATGAAGCAAAAATTAACTGCAGGTTCCTCACATGGTTTTAAATGAACCATAAAACCAGTTATCAGAGGCCCTCCCTGGTGGCGCAGAGGGTTAAAGCACAGCACTAAGAGGCTAAAGCCACTTCAGCAGGAGTTCGATCCCTGCCCTGGAGGTGACCCCCATGGCGAGGCCACTGGCCGCCCCCCTCAGCAGTGTATTTGGAGAGTCAGCCTGTTCTGCTCCCCACTCTGTCTCTGGTGAGTCTTCTCACCACCCCTGCACCTCTGGCCTGTACCCTAGTTCTGTATGCACAAATAAAATAAATAAATCTTTAAAAAAAAAAACAGTTATCAGAAGGTCTTGTTCTTACTACATTCCACTTTGTTTTAATGAAAGACAAGATGTCACACTTATTAATTATTTTAATCTAAATTTACTACTAAACAAGAAAGCACTTGCTTTCTGTTATTTTTTTACACAAATATATAAATAAGCTCAGTTTTGTATATCTCAAATTCCACTTTCTACAAATGTGTGAATATTGTGTAGCAAGCTTCCTTTATTTTAGTAGTTTGTAGTAAGTATGTCCGTACCAAAGTTCAATGTTAGTTTTACTAAGTCAATGAGGACAAAAACACTCAGGGAGTAAACCTTTAAACAGATTTCCCTGACATTAATAAATGATTTCCTCTATGACTTAACAAAAAATGTAATACCTCCTACTTCCAAAAAGACTAGAGAAACTCTTCTTTTACAATAGTGAGGTTTGACCCGTTAGTGCTATCTTATGTGATGTCACATAGAGTTAGTGTGAACTAATGAAAGGAAATACTTTCTCTCTTTCAATATTTATTTTTATCTCCATAAAGTTATAGTGTCTCCTCTTGTGGATTGCCTGTTCACAAGCAATGGCCTTTGAAGAGCTCCTGGTTCAAGTTGGTGGCCTGGGGAAATTCCAGACCCTTCAGATGGTTTTAATTCTTCCCATTTTAATGATAATAATCTCTCACTTACTGTTGGAGAACTTCACTGCAGCCACCCCTGATCATCGCTGCTGGGTCCATATTCTCGACGACACCATCTCTGCTAATGCCACAGAGACCTTGAGCTACGATGCCCTCCTGAGAATCTCCATCCCACTGGACACAAACTTGAGGCCAGAGAAGTGTCATCGCTTTGTCCACCCCCAGTGGCAGCTGCTCCACGTGAATGGGACCCTCCCCAACAGGAGTGAGCCACACACAGAGCCCTGCATGGATGGGTGGGTGTATGATCAAACGTACTTCCCATCCACCATCGTGACCGAGGTGAGGACCTGCTTGTCTCCTGCGAATAAGCGGCCTGGGTGTTCGGGATAACAGGGGTCTGGCTCAGTCTTCAATGGGTGCGCAGGTTGTGTCGTCTGAGGGACACATGTGGATCCGGTGGTGATGCTTGCCTTTCATGCTGAGCGCTGGCTGTGACTTGAGGCCAGGGCCATCTGCCCACCAGGTCCGCACTCTGCTTCCACAGAGCTTTACACCAGTGTGGGGACTGCTGACTAGACATTAGTACTTGATATAAAGTGTGAGAAATTATTGTGGGTGCCTTGTTTTTGCCTAAATGTAAATTGCAAAGGTCTATATGGATTTTTGAAAGTTCTATGCCTTGGTTCCTAGAGAAGCCAGTCAGAGAGTGTGTCAGCCTGGGCATGAAATCGACGCAGCAGTGCTTTTGAAGATCTCCTCAGTGTTTGCAGTGTGAGGCAAAGACTGAGCACCACTGAGGGGCAGAGTCCCGTGACTGAGTGGTGTGACCCTGATGTGACCTAGGAGACTTAGTTGGGGATTTCTAGAGGGGGCCACACTGACGCTGAGACCTGAAGGGCAGAGAGCTATGTGTGCAGTCAAGGGAGAGCAGAGTGTGTGTCCACTGGGACCTGCTGAGTGATAAACATGGAGAGATCAGAGCTACTGGGAAACTCCTCTGTGCCGATGTCCTTCTCTTCCAGTGGCACCTCGTGTGTGGTTATCAGGCATATAAATCCGTGGCTCAGACTGTGTTCATGGCTGGAATGCTCGTGGGAGGCTTCGTATATGGCCATCTCTCCGACAGGTGAGTCTCCAGGTCCTGCGGCCCATCCTCGGGGCTGCCTCCTCAGGTGCTGTTACTCCTTTCCTGATTTCCAGCATGCAGTTTACACAGTTGTGAGTTATTGTGCTTCCCAAGAGCTAAAGATGGAAATAGAGTCTTAGAGTTGGTGTGTTGAATGGCATTTTGCTACTGCATAGTTCTCTGTACAGGACACGGGTAGGACATTCCATAACATCTGAGGTGAACTTCAGATAGTGGGTAGATGGCAGGTACTGTAATATTTCAATTAGAAATAGGAGGAGGCGTTTTCTATGGTAAGAGATAAAAAGTTACTTCAGGACAAGGATACAGCCTATGTGGAGACACAGATGGGAGAGCAGCATTGTAAACTGTGGCCCGAGCTTCTGTATTAAGTTTCTCCTGAACTCAGTGCACTAAGTGCTTGCAGGTTCCTAGACTGTCATTCTGTCTGGTAGCCCCACTGTAATGACAAGGCACTTTTATAAACCCTGTGTGCTTCGTGAGGTGGTTCTCAGTTGGTTTTTTTTGTTTGTTTGTTTGTTTTTAAAGATTTATTTATTTATTCATACAGAACTGGGGTACAGGCCAGAGACGCGGAGGGTGAGAGGATTCACCAGAGACAGAGCAGGAAGCAGAACAGGCAGATCAACGAAGTCCACTGCTGAGGGGAACAGCGGGCGGGTCAGGAGAGGTCTGCCACGCCATGTGGACTCCTCCGGGGCAGGCGGGAATCGAACTCATGTGGAAGTGGTTTAAGCTTCTCAGTGCAGTGCTTTAACCCGCTGCGCCACCAGGGAGGGCCCGGTTCTCAGTTGTTTTAAGAAAGAATGTGGCCATAATCTGAATGTTTGATCTTGTAAAAAACAAAGTCTTGTTTAAGATAATTTTTACAACCATATCATGTAATTAATCTAAATATGTCAGGTGTCATGATTTATAGTGTAAGAAGTTTGTGGCCCATCCTGAAGCAGGAAGAAAACTATAACAGTTACACACTCATGTCTCCCATAAGGAAATGGGAGATATAATATTCCTTTTTGTCTATACTCCTAAAATTATTGAATCATTCAATGGAAATGTGTGAATTCTATGTATATCACTCTAAATGTAATTCCTAAAAGAGTTCATGGTCAGAATATAATATTCACTTGTTACCAAGCCTTTTATTATAATTTAAGATAAGATGTTGACTGATCAGTTTAAAGAAAAAGGGTAGTAGATGTGTAACTGGGAGTTGGCAGAATGTTGTGACAGGTGATGACAATGGAGAATCTAGTGAATGGAGCCTATTAGGGAAGCTAATTATTTGCACCGAACATATAAAATACTTCTGAACATTGACATTAGCACCAAAATAACAGGTGACAAATGCGAAAATGGACAAGTGGAATTACAGAAAAGTAAAGGCCTTTTGTGTGACAGAAGAAACAGTCAAGAAATGAAAAGGAAGCCTATGAATTGGGAGAAAATATTTGTAAGCCATATAGCTGATAATGAGTTAATAACCATAATAAATAGGGCAGTACTAAAATCAATAGCAGAAAGAGACAGAAGAAGAGGAGGAGGAATGGATAAAGGAACTCAAGACGCATTACTCAATTTAAAATAAACACAGAAGGCCCTCCCTGGTGGCGCAGCGGGTTAAAGCAC